GCCTGAGTGTGGAGCCCCCTCTAGTGGAGCTCCCAGGCAGGTGCAGCCCTGGTGAGGCCCTCTAGGTGGGGCTCAGAGGATGAGCTCCTTTGTTCTTAGTGGAGCTGGGCGGGCCGGGGCCATTTCCAACTCTCCCCTCCTCCCCACAGCCTCCCCCTCACTCAGTTCAGGCTGCAAGGAGGGCTTCCACTCCCTGCTCCGCCACTCACAAACCTGGCTGGGAGCCTCCCTCACGGTCATCTCTCCCTCCTCCTGGTCCCGAGTCCTCTGTTTGTAAAGAAGGGTTATCCCCAGGGGGCCCCCTGGAGGGTACTCTCCATAACCTTCTTGCCTCCCTCAACGGGTGAACACGTGTCCTCTAATCGGTGGGGTCCACACATCTGTGCTTCCTCAACATGTTCCCTCGACTGTCTCCTCGTCCCAAGTCCGACCCATGTTCTATGGCTTAGGAGGATCATAGGGCTCACTGAGCAGCCGGACATGTCACGGCAAACTGGGGACCCATGTGACGCCCCCAGTCTAGGGTCCCCACTTCCAGTCCGAGGCCGGTGCTGCCTGCTCAGGAGGAGAGATAGGCTCCCATTGACGGAGGACTCGGGGGCCCATAGTCTCTCCTTCGTAGGCCAGGGGCCGAGCTCAGCCTATCTCCCCAGGCGGAGCATCAACACCGGCCCCTGGGGGCAGGGAGTGCCTACCTTCATTGGGGGGTGCGGGCGACTCCTCAGTGACGGCCTCCCCGTTGCCCACCTGCGTCCTGGCGCTGAGGGTGAAGCGGTAGCGGGACACGGGGTCGAGTCGCTGCAGCAGGAACTTGGTCTGATTCGGGGAGAAGCTCTCCGCTATCGGCTTCCCTACTTTGGTTCCGTTGACTGGGGAGAGGGGAGGGGGCGAGGGGAATGCAACATCAGAGGGGCAGTGGCCACGCTGGGCGATGGGTGGACCCCTGGGGAAGGAGAACCCTGCAAAGGGAGGTGCTCCTGGGGGATCTGAAAGGGTGGGTTCAAAGGGAGGCTCCTTTATGACAAGGCTAGGCAAAGAAGTCCCCATGGACCTAGTGCTCTCCAGCCCCACGAGATGGGGAGGGTTTGATTTATCATCCCCAAGTCTTGTCAGACCAGGACAAAACTCCAGAGCTCTCTTCTTCCGTTCAAACAGATGGAGGGACGGGTGGGGCGGGGCTTTGAGGGTTCGTGCCTCCTTTTAGAAAGGGTTATTCAGTGCACCTCGAAGAGTGCACACAGCCATTCTGCACAGCCTGCCAGCTCAAGGCAATGTCCAAGGACACCCCACCTGGCCCGTGGAACCTGCTCCAGGAGGTGTATCATCACCTTCTTCTGAGAACAACCTTTCTCAGAGCGAAGGCTCGCTGGTCCCCACACGCTGAAGCCAAGTTCTCGAGGTGAGGTCACCTGACCCAGCCGCCTGCCCAAGCCACCGCCTTCTCACCCACGGGGCTCTCCTGTGTGTCTGAGGGCCCTGCTGACCCCAGTGGCTGGAAGCTCGGCCAGGAGAGGGACACTGAGCTGAGGGAAGGTCTCAGAGCCCTCAGCTCTCGGAGGTGGGGGGCTGGGTGGTCTCTCTCACAAGACCAGAAGGCCTTGCTGTCTCACCCAACAGAAAAGGTGCTCACCGCAGGCAGAGCTGTGGGAGGAGACACCTGCCCCACCTCCAACTCCGGGGGCTCATCTTTGTGGGCCCCTCTCTCTACCCCTCATGCCATCCTCTCTGCAGCCCCGACTCCCTCCCTCCCTGTGGTGAGAGCGGGCTCCTGGTTCCCAGAGTGTCGGAAGATAGGAGGGGTGGGGGGGGCGGGACATACAGGCCTGGTATCTGAGAGTATATCCGGTCAGAATCCCGTTGGGGTGTTCCGGGTGATCCCACTCCAGGTTGATGATGTCCAGGTTGGGCTGCCGGACTCGGAACCGCCTGGGGGCACTGGGTACTTAGGGAAGGAGGGGAGAGCAGGGGTGGGGAGGGAAGGGGACACACAAGAGAACAATAGGAGCATGAAGGGATTGATCTCCCGGCACACCCCCGGCTGCAGAGACACCAGCCAGAGCTCCCAGCCGGGCCTCCATGCCACTGCCCCCCAAGTTCCGGGACATGCGTGGCTTGGGCTGAGAAGGGGAAGAGCAATTCCCATGAACGATCCCCCCAGGCTCTGTGCACGCTGCTGGGCTCTGAGCCCCAGCTTCTGCTGTAGATGACAAGCCTAGGCGTGCCGGAGA